TATATATATATATATATATATATATATATATATATATATATATATATATATATATATATATATATATATATATATATATATATAATTAATTCTTGTTGTCCGTAATTGAACGAAGAGTGCTCAATACCAATATACGATAGAGCTTAAATAATTCTTTAATCTTCTTTCGAAGCGATCTTCAGGCGATCGCCTGTATATATATATATTAAGATGAAAATGTTCTAGAGTGTGTATTATATAATTTCCATACCACAATTTCCATAATACACACTCTAGAACATTTTCATCTTAACATATTACAGAGTGTACAATTACACAACTAACTATATATATATATATATATATATATATATATATATATATATATATATATATATATATATATATATATATATATATATATATATATATATATTCACTTTATTGCAATTTAATTGACCATTCGCGTAATAGACTAAATTTTGATCTAAATTTCACCACAGCTTTAAAGAGCATCACAAAATTAGTAATATTCCAAAGTTTCGTTGCGAAATCTTGTAAAATGTGAATAATATAGCCTTGCGAAGTTTGCAATTTTCAGTCATTTTAGATTACAAGCGGGAAATGGAAACGGAAATTGTATTTTGTGCATGAGTATATTTGTGGAAGTGGGGTGGTGGTTGGCATACAATCACATATTTTATGAATAAAATATGATGGGGTGTAATGCTAGCCACACACCTGGCGAGGGTGTAGGGAGTTGTAAAATTTTGGCAAAAGCAGGGTCACGTATTTTGTCAATGGCCCTTACTCAAAATTATTAATAACTATTTAAAAGCTAATAAAATCGGGACATTAAACCTCAGATATAACTACTCATGTTTAGCCAATGCTGAAAACATACGGCTATTTTGAGTTTTAGCCAATTTAACGATATGTGGTTAAAGGCAGCAATGTATATATACATTTCACATCCTGTCATAAACTTATATGCACAATCTTTTGCAAATTAAAATATAAAGTTAAAACATTTCATCACTGTGAAGGTAGCCGCGGATTGGGCACCATATTCGGCCTCAGATTGAATTTCGGATTCGGTCTCACATTCAACTGTATTGAATTATTCAAAAGTAGATTATTTGAACCCCTTTTTCTGGCTACGTTTAAGGTGTTGAAACGCAATATTTAACACTGGATATAATTATGCCGAATTTAGGTTAATATATCTCATTGCAAACCCTAGCTCTTTGCAAACTAAATGCGAATCGTTTACGAAGTATACTATAAGCTAAATTGATTTTTAAAATTCATTTTTAATTAAGTACAGCAAGGAAAATTGCCAAATTAGCCATATTCTTCAATTTAAAATCAGATCACTAATGTACAAAAGTAGTTACATGGTTAACACCACAAAAGCGGATGGAAATAGCCTATAACCTCCTGGTAATTAAATAACGTGCGTGCTAACTCAATAGTTACCGTCTAAAATTCATCGTTATTCTCAATTTGTATAACAAAACTGCAAGTCAGATTGTGAGTAAGTGGGATTTGCTATATTTTTGCAACGATTTGTTTCGCTAACAAATTGGCGGTCGGACTATCGGCGCGTCCAGCGACGTATAGTCAGCTCGATAATTGGGGACGTCCATATTTATATATTCGTGTTCTGCATTATTAATTTATTTTCAAATCGATTGTTTTTAAGGTCTGTGAACAAGAATATATGAATATGGACCCCCCCCAAATTATCGGAGCTTGCTACGCCGCTGCAAGCGACATGAAATTATGAGATCTTACTTTCAATCAGTATGAAGAATAATAAATTATTTCTTTATACAGATATCCCGTGCCCCTGTGGTTGGGAGAAAATTTTGAATAGCTGTTACCTGTTTGTGGAGGACACGGTCACTTGGGACACAGCTCGCGCAGATTGTCTGCATGCAACGTGGTGGAGACCTAGTCATTCCAACCAACACAACAGAATGCGATCTTCTCAGTCAGCGTGCTTCGAACCTTGAAATGAGTATTCCGTGGATCGGTCTATTCAGGTACCTTAATTATAAACACGATGCATAAAGAAAGTTATCCAACTTTAATCCTATTACATAAGTTCTTTGTATGTTTGCATGGCGATAAAATATAATAGTTTTGTTTGTGGAAACACCATGTAAATATAAATTTAAAGCTTTGCAGTAATAAATTTACGTGGTGTTTCCACAAACAAAACTATTATATTTTTTAATCCTATTATTCTTTCACCCTAAAAATTTCAAGCTTTTAGCTTTCAAGAACATCTTTTCTGTTTGATTGCAATCAAAATCGCATTTTTCATCCCTTCGGAATTGAATGCAAAGCTATTATTACCTGGGTGTTAAAATTATTCTCATTTTGGTTGCAATAAAGACAGTATGCGGACGGGATGATAATTGTACATTTAAATTTCAAATGGCGATTTAACAACGAGTTTTAGTTCACTGCAGTAATATAAATTGTTGTCAAATTATTAATGATTCATTAATGGTTTGAAATAATTAATGCGTGCA